TCTTTGTTTGGATTTTGGTTTGTTTGTTTGTTTGTTTCGGGGGGGGCATTAAATGAGTCAAATAATAATTGCTAATTAACACTAGTCCTGATAGGGCCTATTTTGCCATATGGATTAACAGGTGTTTGCCAAGGGCAGAAAACAATATGGGGCAAGAAAATTTTTAATGGGTTTTACATGCATGAGTGAGTGTGGGCCAGGTGGATCAACAAAACACTTAAATATACTAATGGCAACAAAAGACCCTGGGCTCACAAAATACAGTATTTCTAAACAGAAATATATTGTTGCATGATGTCCATATCGAGCACTTCAATGTTTGCTGTCATGATGAACCAGAGTGTGAAAATGCCAGTTTCAAATGGGGTCTCAAATGTTCCAGCTACACCAATCTCAAACATGACAATGACATCATATCAAAAGAATCCTAAAGAATATAAATTCCATGCAAATTACAGGCAGAAAATTATCAAGCATTATATTTTATAATGCAGTAAGTAGTCATTGTCTATGTCAAAGATGACATTCCTTTTCAGGGCAGATTGTTTCCAAACTGTTTCCAGCATTTCCATGAGTGGCTAAACAAATGATGCTATTTATTAACAAAAATATTTTTAAATTTTCTCTTTTTCCCCTTTTCTTTTCCTGCTTTTGCTATGACATGTATGTTAAAAATGTTGGAAAATACCAGTGTAGGATCATTTGCTTCATCTATTTGCTTTTTTTACAAAAAGGATTGTGTTCAGCTTTCCATAGCTAACTAATATACAATCAACTTGGGAGCAAGATGCAAATTTTGTACTAGCTAACTTTTAAGAAGTAAGATTTCTTTAGAAGACCACAAAGTTGTTTCCATTACAAAAGAAAGGCTGCTCATCAAATGAAAATAGCTGTAGAAAATCAGCCATTCTCTTAATTAAACACACCTAAAATAATTTAATACAGATAGAATGAAATTAATAATGACACACAAGTAATTTCTTTTCATACAGAGAGAAGCCTCATCTACCCAGTCAACAATCTCTATAGCAGCTATTTCCTAACCCAGAAATTAATAAGCTATTTATTTCCTGTCAAAATGCAGCTCAGTATGCCTGGAAAGAAGAAAAATAGAATTCCATGTAGGTGCTAACAATTGTCATTAACAGGCCCTGTGCAGGGAAATAAATAGATTTTTTTCCTTTGGTCAAAAATACTGTGTGTCCTTTACAGTCACTTCTCTTGTACATTTACAAAGGCTGCATGGCTTTTATTTCAAAACAGATGGGAATGGACAAAACAAAAAAAGGTCCCTCACTCTTATTTCTCTTCTATCACAGAAATCTATCTACCCACTGAAATCTCATTCCTGCCTTGATTTAGATACCCTTTGCCAACATTGCAGAATTTTTCACTATTCTATGTGAGCAGAAAAATTGGGATAATAGCAAAAGGCAAAGCTGAATCAAAAATATTTCATAAAGAACATGGGAGGCAGGAAAGGGCAGTGATACAAATGCTGAGTCACCCCAGAAATAACACCATTTGTGATTCAAGAAAGCAATATAAAATAAAACAAATATAAAACAATAAACATTGAAAACAATATAAAATAAAACATTTAGATCTCCTACCAAGATCCAGATGGGACTCACTAACTGTGGAGATTGGTGACAGTGAAACTAGATAGACAAAATTGACCTGCAAATGTGCTTTCAAAGGCAAACAGCTGTCTGAGGTTAAAAACAACAAAAACTCCCAAGCACAAAACCAAACAGAAGCTTCCCCCCCACCCCAATATACTGAATCCAACTCAACACAAATTAGACAAAGCTTTCCTGTGGAGCTTCCTCTGTTCTTGTCCTTTACCTGCTATTGGCTGGATTAAGGACATGTGTAGTGATCAATGGCATGCTAACATTCTGCTTTCCACCTAGAAAATATAGATGACAGCATGTCCAGAAAAGAAAGATCCCTAGTGACAGACTGAATATATCTGAACCAGACAAGCTTGTTCCTATTTAATAATTTATAACGCCCCCACTAAGTCAATAATCAGGGTTGTTAAATTAAACCAAAGAGAAGTGTTATTTCATGAAATCTGAATTTATTTTACAATTTTAATCTTGGAATGAGGCATGCATTAAGGATTAGCGGCGTGTGGACTGCACAGGCAAAGGTTGTCAGGTTCCTTATAAGGAAGGGAGTGCTCCCTTTCTCTGCAGGTAGAAAGTTTTTAGAGTCCATTTACACTTTTTTTTGAGATGAAAATGACTACAACTTGAGATCTGGCTATGGAGCACAATCCAACATGAAGCAGTTGAGCTGTGACATGAGCATTCCCAGGTGTTATCTGGGATGTTAAATTCAAATAGTTCTTCAAGGTCTCAATAGGAGATAAGAATTTATGCCAGATTTTAAGAAATAACAGTCAACTCAGTGTACAATCCTCTCAATAATTCCTATGTGTGGATATTTTGTGCAACCAGGATGACAAGTTATTTTCCAAAATCCACAAGGACGTTCCTGCTGAATATCCTACTAGGTCCTGTTGAAATGAATGTACAGCTGGTCTGTATTATGTCAATATATGGTCACATTGTTCTGCCCTTCAAATATAAATAGACACCACCAGCTACACCAGAAATAAAATAGCAGAATAGCTTATAGTGGTCCAAGGAACATTGTAACAAAACTAAAACAAATATCCTCAACAAACCAACAAACCAAACAAAAAGAATTAAAGAAAAGCATCCTTTGCCTTATTTCTTCCTCTTGTAAGGGAATGACTGCATCACACACCTTGAGCTGTGACAAACTTTGTTTTGTGTCCTATTAATAGGTACAAGCTCCAATCAAAGACTAACATCATGCTGTGTTGACCAGCAGAACTCATTCTCAAATAGCTAGGTCAGAGAAATAGGTCAGAGTTTTCTTTTCCCTAGCCTCCACCTTGCACCACTATGAAAAGCCTCTTTCTCCTAACAGAAAGCTCTTTTAGTAGAGATTTAGCCAAGAGAGAAGGTTGAAAGAAAGTGGGAATATGAGCAATCAGTTTAAAGGAAAAGAATACACACACAAAAAGAGGCCATGAGAGGCAGGACCAGAGGATGAAGGGGACTGTACTGGGGCAAAGGAGAAAGGAGAAATGCTCACCTTGCACAGTCTCTGGTAGTGGAAGCTCCCGCCTTTTGATGCAGGCTCCAGAAAGGGAGTACCACAGTAAAAATACTAAGAGTAATTAATTAAGGACAGTGGTTTCTGGAAGTCATGAGCTCACTCTGTTCTGTATTTTATATTCTCAATTAAGTTATCTCTGCACTGTGCAGTTCTGCTCTGTGGTTAAGTATCATTCCCAAATTTTTTAAGAACATCCACTGCTTCACCTGTTGTCAAAATACTCTTCCAAGAATTCCATAAATTTCAACTGGCTAGTAAATAGCCATGATGTACCCATGTATTTTCTGGCATGATTATGATGAAGTTTATGATAAATCTGGAAGATTTGCTAGATTTCTTAGAAAGGCTATCTTTGTTGTTTATGGAGTTCCCAGCTTCATCCCATCTCAGCATCTGCATTTCATAAGTACAATTGTGATAACCTCTGTCTAATGCTGTCCTTTCTTTACTTGACTGTTTACTCAAAAATAATTGATTATTCTATTTGCATCCTATTGACCCTCCTTCATAACTGTGAGTAATATTTGGAAAGATACATATAAATCAATGTAATTTAAATGACTCATTATTGTCTAAACATGTCCAATTTTACTTAATTAATAATGAATATTTCCATCTATCTGGATTGCATGGACTCAATAGAGCTGCTGTTTAACCAGAAATTCTCTCCAGTCTGTAAAACTGAAGAGAAAAACAAAAAAAAATTAATGTGGTACAGTAATACACCCAGTTCTTACTATACAATGTCATGTGTGCCAGACAGTAAATATTCTTCATCCTTTACAAGATCACATTTTCAGATTTTTTTGTTTACTAATGCTGTATGTTTAAACATGAATCACTTTGGAAAATAAATTACAGAGAAGGTATACAACAATCAAGTTAAGAAATGTTTTCTCCCATATTTCTGTTCCTTCTTGAGTATTGATGAATTCCAAGTAAAAAGCAATTCCAATGGACATACAGTGTTTTGATATAGCAGGAAATGGTAAAATGGAAAGCATGTGTTCTAGAAAATAAACAGAAATAGTTGTCAATATGACTATTATGATGAATAGTGTTTCTGTTTGTACAAAAAACATGCTCAGATGAATGCCTGATTTTTGTGCTCTTGCTGAGATGTTAAAGCATTGTTCAATTAAAGTAATCAATACCTGGCAGGAAATGGTAACACTTCAAAAAACATTAATCAAAGGTTAGATAAACAAAATGGGCTTTACTGGAAACAGTACTCATCTAATATTAGGAAAAGACTTGTAGATGTGGCACTTTGGGACGTGGTTTAGTGGTGGATTTGGCAGTATGGACTCAATGATCTTAAAGGTCTTTTCCAACCTGAATGATTCCATGACTCCAACCCATCTGAATCGCTAACTCTATAATATTTTTCTATGACTCACTTCAGTACAACTACAGGAATCAATTAGCATAATGTCATCACAGCTCATCCTTCTCTTCTTTAGTTGACATTTCAGATTTTTAATTGACTCCTGTGCATTAGATGGCACATACAATCCTCGGTAGGCTGGAAGCACCGGTTTCTCAATGAGAACTGCACCCAAAGCTGCCTAATGGCCCTTGTCACTCTAGCAGGTAATTAAAAGTCTTCCCACTTTGGAACTTAGCCAGTAGAAAAGCAGACAGAATGCTCCACTTGTAAAATGAGGAATAAAGGTCATACTTTGAAGGAGGAATAATAATATTTTGCAATTTCATAACGTCTTTTCTTCAGGGATTTTAAGTAAATTAATAGGCATTAATTAATAGAACCTTGTAAATTCCCTAGAAAATACTTGTGCTGCTCATTATAAAAGAGGACAAAAAGGAATTCAATACCTCATTTCCACAGGATCATTCTTTCTGAATGTCTCTGTACTGGTGAATTTAGTTGGATTACTGTGTTGAAGGAACAACAATTTCTGGTCCTACAAAAACAAGATGTTTTCATGCTCAGCATCTCTGAAAGTCAGAATTTGGGTAAGAGACAGAAAATTGAAAATAAACTTGGTGTCAGGCAAAACTTTGCTGCTAATGAAGATAGAGTAACAGATAAAACTATTATACAGTAATAATAGTAAACATAAAACATGTATTTCATTCATTTTGGACATTTAAAGTTATCTTTGTATTCAAAATGCTTGAAGAAAACTATATATTAATGTTTTGACTGGTCATCTGATCAAGATATGTGTTACATTTTTTCAGAGGAATTCTGTGAGAATTTTCTTTTCTGCAACATTTGGATGGGTCTCAGCTATTAACAGAAACAACAGACATGACTATAAAACAGAAAATGTTATAAGCACTCTCTTGGGAAGTTTTAATATCTACTGTCATAGTGACAGTAGATATTTTTTGACATTTTTCAGTTGCTCTTTGGGTAAAATATCTAACAGTTTTTTTTAAAAAAGACCTATCTACTACATGAATGTATAAAAGTCAGGAGTTATTTTGTCAACACAGAAGCAATAACTATGTGCACCTCCTTAATAAACATGTTTATTTTTTTGCAGAAGAATAAAATAAATGAAACTCAACATAGTTGAGCCCAGATGTAATCTTTATCTCTACAATTCAGTAATTTTAAGACAAATATGGTTTTAAAAGAGTCCTTTAAAAGGACTGGAAGCATCCTGAATCAATAACTTTTTTCAGGACATATGCACTGTATATGTCATAAGCCATTATCCCTAAAATCAAAAATCAAAAAGCCTTTTGTCCACCCTCTTTTTATTTCCCCCCTTGCAAGGAAAGCAGTGAAACAGGATAAAGATTTTTCTATAAAGCATTTGTTTGTTTTTCTACAAACACTTACAAAAAATTTTCAAATTTTAATCAAAACCTTTGCAACTGGAGAAATTTTGGAAGATGTCCTATCACACACATTGTCAGAGATCAGACAGCTACAGAAGCTGAACTGGGTAGCACTTCAGACCCTTTGGCCCTGGATACAGTTAAAGCTGAGGGAGAGATAAACCCAAGGCAAGAACAGAAGTGAAGACTTCGTGTCTGGTCACTGACTGCTCTGAGGAAGGAAGATGCAACAAGGATTTTGCTGGTGAAAGAGATAACAAGGACATTGCTAGTGTAAGAAAAATAATCACAAGACTGTGTTTCTAAAGTGGAGTGGGACAAAGTGGCTGGAGTGGAAGATTTTGTTCAAAGTAATGACCTATAAATACTGGTGGACTGGTGTAATAAACTGGCTTTGCTTTGCTGGTGAAAGTGGAGTCCATGCCAGTCAACCCTCAGAATACATGTCTAAAAACATATAAGCTTGTTGGTCAAAGAAGATGACAAACACCTTTTGAAGTCTGTGATTATTATTTCTAACAATAATTACCTAGGTAAATAAGAATTTAGAAAGTTAAATGGTTTATATTTAATGTAGTAAGTTTAAATATGATGAATAGTAACAGGACACATTTCACCATGGAAAATTACCACTAATAATTAAAGAAATCATTTAGGCATCAATACTTAATGACTTTCTACAACTAGCTCATAGATAACAAAAGTCAAGTTAAAAAGTTCTTCATAAGAAAATATTTTATTTCTTTTATTTTAGCTTCTTAGAAATCAAATCAGAAAAAAAAAATCAATTCCCACAATTTTTTAATATAATTTATTAGGGAAATATTTCTGAAATTTGAGAGGAGTTCAAACTCCTGTTAAGAAAAAGAAATCTCTCAGAAAGAAATCTTTCACTAAATGAAAAAGCTAAATATTAGGAAAATTTAAGAAATTGGTACTGGAAATAGCAGCTAGTAGGTATATACTGGTGTAATCACCAGACCACATATTTGATATCTGAAGTTTTGTAAAGGGATGGAGATTCCTTCTCATGAGTGGGAGCAAATTAACAGCTTGCTTCTGAATGACAGAAGTCATTTGTCCTCTATTCTTTTGCTGATTTTATCCTGAGTTGAAGCTGAGCTGATTAAGTCAGTAAAATTGCAGAAAACTAATCCACTTTGCCAATTTAGAAAATTTAATTAACTACTTTATGCTCACATAAGCTTCAGACTTGGTTTATGACACAAGAGTAGGAAAAAAATGTCTGTAATCTAGAATTGGGGATGAGATCTGTTGATGGAAGTAAACTGTCCATTGAGTTGTAATAAGAAATAGCACACTAAGAATGCATACTTTTTTCTTTCTAGAAGCTTATAGAACAAAGAATTATAAAACTTTCCTAAACAGATTAGGTCACTCACTCTTTCCCTCACATTCTTTTTTGCTCCTGTTTTAAACTTAAGTCATAGAGGGAAAAGACCTGTCAGATGCAACAGAGTTGATAAGCATCAGGGGAATTAATCTTTTAGTATGAATTTTACTCTCACTGAGAATTTATTGTGAACAGGCAACAGACAACTATTAGTACTACTGTGAAGCTATATATATATATATTTGTTACTGTTATTTTAGTCTGCAATGAATTGCCTTTTTCATCGAAGAGTTTAGCAGTTTCAAAACAGGAAATTGTTTCAGTTGTGTTTAACTGAATTCATGAGCTAGCCTACAGTGTAAAAAGTGAAGAGAAGGCTTTGATTCACTCATAGAAGAATTTTTATGATTCAATGGGCCTGTCTCAGAACAATTCCTTTAAAGCTTTCCTGGTTTTATTATTTTTATATTTGGGGCATTTTTGATTTGTTGATTTTAGGTTGTTGATCCTGTGTTTTTTATGAGAACAAATGAGAGTTAACTGCATTTATTCAGGTGACAGAAATTATAATCTGTTTCACAGATCAGTGTAGGATTCACTACAGATTCGCCATACTAAGTTTGGGGTCGCTTCTAAGCCAGATGATAAAATAACTAGCACAATCTCTTTTAGAGCTTACCACAAAGAAGAAAGCAAAAGTAGCAGGAATGTTGATGGTGATACTAATTCTCCCAGTACTTTTCCCTTTAGTGTCTTGGGCTTACCATGCTTTTGCCAGCCTTGCTCAAGAGGCGCTCTGTGCGTGGAACAGGCCTCTTCTTCCATGACTTCATCCACACTCTCCCATCCACACCTGCCTGGGGCCTGGGCCTTCCCACAGCCTTTCTGGAACAGATGTCTCCTGTAAATGGACTACTGATCCTTCCTCGCTCGTTAAGCATTCATATTTCAGTATGCTGAGCAGGGAATAGGTCTTTGGTGTAATTTCTGAAACTTAGTCATTGTGATTTTTTCATAACCTCTTTGATGTTGGGCTTTGAAGATTTGAACCTCTGTATTTTCAAAGGCATGTCTGAACACATTTCTCTTTGCAAAGGCACCCACTCAAGGCTGTACGGGGTTTTCATGCACCCAAAGTAATAAATCCACCTGTTGCATATTTGAAGAAAGCAGATGGGAAATGAAGGAATAAAGCATCCTCCTGCTTCTCACCTTTTAAATCCCACCTTTCACTGCCAAGTTGACACATTCACACCATACGGTCACTGAGAGTGTGCATCTATGGTGTTGCTGTTTTCTAGCTGACATTGACCTAATTGACCATTTGCCATGCATTGTGTATATTTCCAGATGATCATATATAATATGAAAGTTAAGTAGAATTTCTGCTGATTCTTAAATTCAGATGCTAGTGTAAAATTGAAGTATTTTTTTGTAATTATTGATTTTGAAATAAGGTCTGAGAGTTGTATTGACTCATTGTGAATTGATGAAAAATGTAGGATGCCTTCTGTGTGAGGTTTTTTATCAGATTTTATAAGACAGAAAATCTGATGTTGTCATGTGGTGCAATTTAGTTAGTGTGAAACTTATCTGTAGGTCAGTTTTTCAAAGTGGTAGTTTCATTTTACCTTCTGTGTGGACTTAAGTGACTTACAGCTCATTCATCTTTTGGTCTTGCTCACACAGAATGAAAGGGACATTGACAAGTGTGAGGTCTTGTGAAAGGCTTAGCAATTTCTTATGTTTCATTAAAGCTTGGTCAAATGCAATAGTTGCAAGACAAATAGAGCACCATTAAAAGCTTGCATTTGCAAGGTATATGTTTTTCAGTACTGTTATAGTACTCCAACAGGAATTTGTGAAATTAGGCAGTGAAGATTCGTGATCTCTATTCAATAACATTTCAAATGTTATACATATTAAATTCATATACATTCATGCTACTCCTCACTTCTCAAACCACACAGGAAATTCTCTTTGTCCTAATGAGAAGAAAAGTAAATAAAACTGTAAAAGAGAAGGTCACAGTCATTATGCTTTCTGCTTATATGTTATCTTAAAGTAGCTGCTGTATAATAGCATATTCATATATTCTTAATCCTGCTTTCTGAAGGTATGTAATTTTCTTTGATCTTGAAATATACATATTCCTCTTTGCTACTTCAAATCTACTGAAGCCAGCAGTTAGCAGTTAATTTTCTCTCTTCACTGACTTTTTTCTTTTTGTTCCATAAAAGATCCATTCAGAAGCTCACGTTGGGTGTGAGGTACAATTTTTATAGCAAGGTTGGCCTCAATCTTGTACATATTCTGAATCATGAAACATTGCAATGAAGGACTGTTTGAAAAGAGAGTGCAACTGTTGCTGAAGAATCACACATTTTCAAATATATAGATATTGCCAAAATTCATATAAGTCTTCAAATTCTCATGTCTTTAAAGGATGATGTCTTGTAAATCGTTATACTTTTGCACAGTAAAGTTGTTTTTTGGTGCACAACTAATTTAGGTGGATAGTTTTTTGGGTTTTTTTGCCTACTATTTGATAATTTGCTTCTTCTATACGAGAAATTTGGTGGCTTTAAATCTACCATTTATATAGCATATCCATATGACAGGCCATGTATTGCCCAGAAATGTTGCAATCTGTGTGGACTTCTAGTACCTTAGGTTGTCTGCATGTGCACTCATGTACCTGGTCTGGCTAGGATAGTTAATTTTCACCATAGTGGCCAGCATAAGAGTATGTTTTAGACTTGTGCTGAATACAGTGTTGATAACACAGGGATGTTTTGGTTATTTCTGAGAAGTGTTTGCACAGCATCAAAGCCTTTTCTGCTTTTCACGCTATCCCAGTAGCAAACAGGCTTTGGTACACAAGAATCTGGGAGGGGATACATCCAGGAAAGCTGATCCAAACTGACCAAATTTCCATACCATGTGGCATGATGCTCAACATATGAGGTGGGGGGAAGAAGAAGGAAGCAGGGGGAATTTGGAACAGGGATGTTTGCCTTCCCAAGCCACCATTATTTGTACGGGAGCCCTGTTTTCCTCAAGAGTCACTGGCTGCCATGGGCAATCTGCTCTGCAGGAAATGCTGACAGTCTCGGTACATTATGATGATACTAAGTAAAAGGAGACGTGAGCTACTTCTCATAAAGAACCTGGGCACCAACTGGATAACTAAGTGTTTGTGCCCAGGGGAGAGAGAGAGGGAGAAGAAGAGAGCTGGCTATCAATCACAGGTTTTTTCCCTAGCCAGGGATATGCTGCTCTCCCAAGGCAACCTCATTGTATAAACTCTGTATAACCTCAAAGCTTCTGTTAACAATTACATAATCAAATATATTATATATTATATATTGCATATTGTATATTGTATATTGTATATTATATATTATATTATATATTATATATTATATATTATATATTATATATTATATATTATATATTATATATTATATATTATATATTATATATTATATATTATATATTATATATTATATATTATATATTATCACATATTATCACATATTATATTATCACATATTATCACATATTATCACATATTATCACATATTATCACATATAGAGAACTCCCTCTATGGCAACTTCTTAGGTCACTATATAGGGTTTGGATGACCATGGATTAGGGTAATGATCTCTTACCTCTCTTACCTGTCCTGCTGAGACAGAACCACGTTTGCTGCAGTCCAAAGGCTGCTTTCAGATGACGAACTTTGGAGTCCGACTGGAAACGGGAGTAATCCTATGTCAAGTCAGGCAGCTGTGTACACAGACATGATTTTGCCTGAGTGATCTTTGTTTCTCTATCCAGCATATGCTATAATTCTCCATTGAAAAGCCTCTCCTGTCTTCAGGTATCGTTCTTTCCTACAAGGTAAGAAAGGGAAACTCAGGGTGACAAGGAACAGGACTTGAGATCAGTGGTACTTGTTTGTAATTTGATTCCATATTGTAAAAGAGTACAATATGGAATTAAGCTTTCAATAATGTAATTACCACACTATAGGATGGACCCAGTATAATAAACAGTCTAGAAATAATCTCTGGCATTCTTATGGTTTTGTCAGAAAAAGTATTCAAGTTGCCATTTGTACACTTCCCCCCTCCCCTATAATCTTTTCTCTGTGAGTCCCAGACCCAGTAATTTCGAATACATAATAAGCAAAGAGAAATCATCGAGTAAGAAGAAAACATTTATTTTCCAGGTGTTAGGGTTGGTTGTTTTTACTTTTTGTACAATACCACAGTGAGCCTGTTGCCATCCTCTAAAATGAAAAGTATGAAAAGTAGCATGGGATAAAATTGACAAAATTAGCATAGATTTAGAGAAATTCACCACAGAAAAAGGCTTCATAGTAAGTGGCATGACACTGGCTTCCCTGGACCTCGAACTAAAACAGTGAATAAATTGAGAAAGGATTTTTTTACAGTCTAAATTATGTAGGAGTATCCACACATCAGGAAGCTCATTGCTTCCCTGTACAGCACTGAGCTGACACAAATGAGTTTCCAGTGGCCAGTTCCGAAGAGTCTTAAACACCTGCTGGCATGGTTAACATTTGGGTTGGGATTTATACCAGTTTTACTAAAATCCATGCAGAGCTTCTTTTTTGCTTTTTACCCAAAGTAAATAAATTATCAGATATACTTTCAGTAGGATCCAGGTCACAGAAGGGCAACAAAAAGCAAGAGGGATGCAGACATTTCCCCCCCCGCCCAGGCTTAGTGTCAGAAAAGCATTTGCTGTTGCTCAAGCCCCCTTCTTTTCCAAAGCATCCTCTCCTTCTGTCAACATAGTCAATCTGGTGCTCAATCCCTATGAACAGCCCCTTGCCTCGTCATGCCTATACTTTCTGACCACAAAGTCTCATCCCAGCCCTTTGGCCACTCAGAGTGACCTGCCTGGAAATAACATCTGCTAGGAAGTAGGGAACTCTTTTAAAGTAGGAGCTAGTAATGTGTATCTGGGTCTGACGCAACTGATGAAGTCACCAATAGTATTATCTTCCAGGGGAAACTTGTTAAGTGGGGCTCCAACAGGGGTAGCTCTGAAATGAGTCAAGGAAGCCACCCTTATTGACTATCTTTGAGTTCCTTAAGCAAAATGTCTGCCTTATAATCAGAATTTAGGTGTCAGCTGTGGGATCATCAGCCTCCTGCCACTCTGTGCACTGTGACTTGTAATCAAAGACCAAATGAGAAGAGCACCTTTGCCTGACCACCTCAGGCTCCTGAGAAGCACAATTTCCAAAAACTCATGGAATGTTAAGCATTGTATATTTGAAGAAACTGATATGGAAACCTATGGAAAACTGGAGTTAAGAAGAAGAAAGACTGGCATTTTAAAGAAAAAACAGAAGAAAATATTGTCACTATGGATGACAAGAAAAGATTGAATGATAAATATACAGGATATAAAAGAGAAAGAACATGATTTCATATTTCCTAGTCTAATCTCCAGGCAGGGAATTTAACTGAGATATAAAATGTTGAATAAACTTAATATATATAAAAAGAGAATAAGCAACAGCCAAGCCATCATATTTTTAATCTATTTACATGGGGATATCTTCTGAAGGTACTTTTGTCCCTGGATTAAAAGGTTTTTAAAAGTCATGTGTGGGTTGGGATGGGCTGGCTATTTCATTTGACATTTAGCATACTCTATTACTGTTGTGACAGATACCTGCTGTATCCTGCAGGTTGTCTGGGAAAAGCTGTAAAGTTAGGGCTTTTTCCTTCCTATATTAAAAATCATGTTATTAAATAACTTCCCAGGTGTTTTGCCAATTAAATCCATGTTTTCCTATTAGCAGTGGTGACATTCAATTCTCCATTTTATGTTTCTTATGTTTCAGTGTATGTGCAGAGCATCACTGTGCCGATTCCAGATATGAGCTATATGGCTTGTTCTTATTTACAAATACTTTTACATAAAATTTTAATGCGAACAAAATGAGGACACATAAGCAAATTCTGGTCAAGGTAATGAAAAAGAAATCCTTCAGGGCAGTAAAAAAGAAATACTTGCATAATGAAATACAAAAGGCAAAATAAGTGAAGAAGTAAACCACAATACCTAAGGGTTGTAATAGCCTGCTAAATCTGATTTCTTAAAATGAAATAAGGGTGGTGAGAAAGAGAACTTAAAAGCACGGAGATAATGAAAGTTTGAGCTTCTCAAATAGGAACTGTGTTCAGTTAGCTCTTAGAAAAAAAACCCACTTTTATATAGCTCCTTTAGAAGCAAATAAGATTCAACAATATCTTGCAAAAGTTTTCATCAGAAGGTTAGGTCAACTACAGTTTCATTAGTGGTAACTGGCAGAAAAGTTTTCTTACAACACACCCATAAAGAGCCAAGAAATCTATAAAGATATTTAAAACTGATATAAAAAAAAAAAAGAGTAGAACAAGCTAGACTTGTTCCCCTGATATTTTGATGCTTAACAATGATCGCTTACTTGGAAAAAAACATTAACATTGGCATATGTGAATGGAAATGGATACAATAACTGAGTCATCTCCAAGACAGAACTTTCACATTAAGATGGAAGTCTTACTGTGCAAGCTTATTACCACAAACGTTCAAGCATTCACCTACATGAATATTTATACACCAATTTTCTATGGTCAATATCTATGAATTTAATAGTACTTCTACTATTTATTATGGAAAGAACTGGAGGATTTTGCCATTTAATACCAATGCACAGCACATAGGCTTGGGGACTTGCCAACACAGACCTGTGTTCAGTCTGTGTGGAGCACAAAGGGTAATAGTGAATGGGTGGACTGGTGACCTGTTACTAGTGGGGTCCTGCAGGGCTTCAACCTCAGCCTTGTGCAATTCAACATCCTCAGAAATGTCTTGGAAACAGGTCTGGAAGGGATACCAAGGGAGTTTGCAGATGATACAAAAAAACTGGGAGGCACTGTTGACTCCCTTGAGAACAGGGATGCCCTGCAGAGGCCTCACCAAATCAGAGTGCTGGACAATCACCAACAATGTGGAATTCAGTGGGAGAAAGTTTCTCCCGGGATTCTGCACCTGAAATGGAACAACCCTGGATGTACAGACAGACTGGGAATGCTAAAAACAGCACTAAGGAAAGGGACTTCGGGTTCCTTGTTAGTGGCAAGTTGAATCTGAGTCAGCAGTGCCCTGGCAGTCAGGAGGAACAACCCTGTCCTGGGGGGCATCAGGCACAGCATGGCCAGCCAGGCAAGGGAGGGGATTGTCCTGCTCTGCTCTGAGCTGGGGTGACCTCACCTCCAGTGCTGGGGGCAGTTTTGGGAGCCACAGAGTAAGAAAGACATTAATTAAGCACCGCAGTTAGTATGAATACATAAATGCATTTGCTAAATTATTTGCTCATCTTTTGATTTCAAGCATCACAGTTAGAATTTTAAAGACGTATCCATAAATCTAGAAATTTGAGGCAGTCTGAAGACTCTTCTGAAAAGTGTTTGGGGATTTTTCTATAACGAAACATAAGATTGTATTAGGAGTTTACATTATCTTTTTATCATCAGACCTAGTCATAATGTTATGTAAAATTACATATTTTCTGCTTCGAGGGATTCACTAATCTATATTTCCTGAAAGTACTTTTATTGCAGTTTAATTACTTTTGTCTAAGACTGTTTCCTTTCCTTTAACCAGGGAAATTTTTGCTTCCCATATGGCTCATAGGATTTAACCTAACTTGAAATTTCATAGCCCTTAAATTTCCCACTACTGGGTAAATAGAAAACATTTACTTCAGAAAACAATAGTAAATTAAGTGATTATAAGAATTTTCTTGTGGCTTTATGAAAAGATGTCTTTGCTTTTGTCTTCATTTTTCCCTCAAACAAGATAAAATACACATAAAGGTCAAATAAGCAAGGCATTCAGACATAACTTTTGAACTTCAGTTGTCTCTTGGAACTATCTGCTGAGCCAAAATAAACTCTTGCCATCTATTACAGATGAATCAGTTATAATATATAAACCAAGAGCCCAAACTGGGCTCCTTATGTCTTGTTTAGTTCAGTGTGCTAAACTAATGTAAATGACATCCATTCAGTATTAGTTCAATACAGCATGTTCTAAATAGACTTAGAACAAATAGGTTAAGCAAATAAAATCACTAATAAAACCCCAGGATAAATTGAACAGACCTTCCTTCTGCTAGGCTTGCTCATTTGTTAAAACTAGAGGGAGGAAACATCAGCCATTTTCCTGGAGACTGTAAGAAAAACTTTGAGATTATTTTCATAAAACAACAAGAAATATTTTACAGCCCTTTCCATTAGCAATGTCTTATTGCTTACTTAAGGCCAGTGTTTTAAAACCTTTTCCTTTTTTTGTCGCATCCTCGAATCATGAGGAGTACCCAACATGAAGGCTACATCTATCTATGCAACTACCATGTGCAAATTAGCACAAATTTATAAGGAAAAGAGTTCACATTAAGGACCAATATCACTTACACTGAATGGAGGGCAGAGGGTGTTTAAAACTGACCCTGGTGAGTCCCCATGGCCTGAATGTTCATTTGTGGATGCAGTGTACCACATGTGCTCCTGATGCATATCTGTGGTTTAGCATCATTCATGAAAAATACATTTCATGAATTCCAAGATCACTCAGTTTTAAAATCAAAATCATATGAGAGTGAATCAGAAGTCCCAAAAAGATGCAAAAAGAGCAAAAGATGTCTCCTGATCCAAACCAGAATGCTAATGCAGATGCACTCAGAATAGAAGAAATAAAAGTAGTATATAGAGAGCTTATAGCAGATGGTGGGCACGATATATTAGTAAAAGCCTGTCTGCACAAACCAGCCTCTGGAATAAGTTGTGAT